ATGTGACATCTTTGTTCCTTACTGTAAGTATTCAAATTCGATGACGAGGAACCCACTTTGAGACTAATAATGGCTGGAGACGGCTTGAATGGGTAATGAAGAAAAACTTTAATGCAACAGCAAATGTACAACGTTTCGACAAGGTTTTGTCATCATCCTCACGTTGTACATTTGCTGTTGTATTAAAGTTTTTCTTCATTACCCATTCAAGCCGTCTCCAGCCATTATTATTCTTCTGTCTACCTTACATTATAAAAAAAGTTTTAGTGGCGCTGCAGAGTAGTTAAAAATTTCCAGAGGGCGGTCAATTCACTAAATACTCAGAGCCATAGTCGTTTAATATTGTGTAGAACTGGGTGAGATAGAATATTCGAGAAGCTGAAGTGAGATTGGTTTTGATTTTTATTGCACTTCAATTGGTGGTTTGCTTCTATTTTGTTGTTGATTACCATCTTAACTACAGAATAATCCTTTACTGAGAGAGCCTGATTGGGGTTGTTCCAGTTTCCAGAGACTATAATATTAATTCTACTCGTACGAACATTTATTATTTTGAGTACAATCTAAGACTCGTCGACTTCGAGTTACAATGTCGAAAGTGGAAGAGGTAAGGCCTAATTTGTATCTTAACCTGTAGATTGTAGTTTAGTTGTGCTAGTAATAATGCGTATCAGCCATTTTTTACAGCATCTTCCTAGACATTTGAAACTCGACTTGCACAAAGAGTACAATAGTACAGAGAAGTAGCAGCCAAATACTATTGGTGCTAACACGCATTACTTCTTAACACCCCATTTCACACCAAAATTTATCTTAACTGCAGCCATCAGACTGAACTGTTACATGCATGTCCTCATGAAAGAATATGAGCTTATACAATATGGGAATACATCCTATTTTCTCAAGTATTTTGAAAAATTCTGATCTACTGACAATATCAAATGCCTTTTTTAAGTCTACAAAGGTGATGTATATTGGTTTCTTTTGCTATCAGCACATCTCTTGAAGCTTTCAAATAGAAAATGTCATATCTGAAGTAGACCATCCAGCTCTGAAACCACACTGTAACTTAGGGTACACATCAGTTGCTAGCAACTGTAATCTTTTTGGAAGAACTCTTGCAAAAGCCTTTCCATCAACAATGAATAAGGAGATACCATGTTACCACTTCTGTGGCACCCAGGCCTAAATCTCTATACACGTACACTTCTATAAAAATGAAATTTTCTATGTTTCTTCTGATCTCCTGAAGATGGTGGAATTTTTTCCACTGAAACGTATAGTTTTTTTTAATTGTATATTTTGCTTTTAACTTTATACAATAAATAATTGTGCAATTTTAAACGTTGGAGTTCTTATTTATTTTATGAAATCTATGCATAAGAATGGTCATAGAATATATTGATGTGAGAATAAATGATTAGTTGAATATTCTCAGTCATCAAACTTCACTGATGGCCCAGCTCTACTTGGTATCAGATGTTATTGGACAGTAAACATTGGCATCAGACCGAGTTTTATGAAAGTTATTGTGTAAACATGATTGTGTAGTGAGTAATTAAGCCAATGTAAAAATAATTCTTACATGTGACATTCCACTGAACCACAGAAAAAAAATAACATGTACAAACGTTGGATAATGTAAAGTGTGTTAATTTGGTACTGTAAGCAGTACATTTGTAAATATTTGTCATTCTGTAAATCTATGTCCATTATCTTTTAGGGTTTGAATGGATGAATTTAACCCGTTTAGGGTGTATATCAGTTTTGAGTTGCTTGCCAGTTTTATTATCATTGTTAACATTTTACTTACTTGAAGTTTGTGTTCTAGTATACTCATTTAAATATTATTTTGATGTAATAACAGAATTGTTTTTAATATTATACTTAAAATATTTCAATATGAATGTACCCAGAGTTTGCAATGTTGAACTAGGCTTAATACAAATTAAATGTGTTTAAGGCTAGGTAAAACAATCACTGTTCTGTGGTGCATCTGTCTGAAGATTTAACTTTCACATATTGTTTCTGTTTATTTTGGCTCTTGTATTAAATTAAACAACAAGCAGAAACAAAAAAATAACTAAAGTATGAAAAAGACAAGCAGCATTCTTTGGTCATGTGATGAGAAGAAATGGGATGGAAACTGGGAAATTTGTGGGGAACATGATCGCCTATGCTACAAATCATGGCACTTGATGATGATTAAATTTGAAGACAACTATTGAGTCAACTGTTATGAATTTTTAAAGACAACTATTGAGTTACCTGTTATAAATTTTTAAAGACAACTATTGAGTTAATTGTTATAAATTTTTGAAGACAACTTTTGAGTTTTAACTCAATAGTTGTCTTAAAAATTTATAACAATTAACTCAATAGTTGTCTTCAAAAATTTATAACAATTAACTCAATAGTTGTCTTTAAAAATTTATAACAATTTTGTTATAAATTTTTAAAGACAACTATTGAGTCAACTGTTATAAATTTTTAAAGACAGCTATTGAGTTAACTGTTATAAATTTTTAAAGACAACTATTGAGTTAATTGTTATAAAATTTTGAAGACAACTATTGAGTTAACTGTTATAAATTTTTAAAGACAACTATTGAGTTAATTGTTATAAATATTTGTGGCTAAGTTGTAGATTCATTATTGGTGTTTTAATTTTTGGGTTAAAAAAATTGTTTTAATACTGTATTTTTGTTTATTTCCTGTATAAAGTGGTTTGTTTGATAACCAGGTTGATAGATTCCCTTTGCCAATATGCCAAGTATCAAATGATTGTTACAGGGATTTTCTGATCTTAACCTTTCTGGTTATAAACGTGTTCACATTTAAACCTGTTTCATATCATAAGAGAGCACCCTTTCATTATTAAAAAAAAGTATATTTTCTGTTATAAATTACAATTCACTTACCCTCTGTGAGTTTTGTGGATCATAAAGATAAAACTTGTGTAGAAATTGGCCAAGTAAATGTTTTCACATCGTTGCAATGGGTTAATTTATGGCAAAGAGTGTCCAACACTTATTACTTCGGGCACTGTTCTCTCAATTCCACAAATAATAAATGACGATTGAAATGGAAAAGATAATTTCTTTTTGAAGTGTATAATTATAACTTTAATAAAAGTATTCGAACATTCTAATAGTAATTTATACCCTTCCAGTTGAGATTACCTGTAGATGCTAATTTTTTTCTTGTTTTTTTTTTTTAAAGTTCCAAGCAGATTTAGAAGAACTAAAGAAGCTAGAGTCAGTTGCAGTTCGTAAACGTGTTAAAGAAGCACTTTCTATTGAAATTAGAAAAATCGAGACATTTCTGAAAGACCTACATGGAACATCATCCACTGGGACTGAAGTTAAAGCTAATGCCACTCGGCCCCAGTATTGTACGGTAAAGATACAAAACTATGGTAAGAAAGCATTTTTATCTGAATGTATCATTTATGTTTTTGTAACCATATTTTATTTTTTAGATAGAAATACTTCACTCTTTCGGGATTTGGAGGTGTGATTGACATCCCTTGATTTTTATTTTCACATTAGTGTCTAGTTTTCAAAAAAAATCGTATAATTTATTTCTTCTTTAGTGTTTTACGTTGTGAAGTTTCCGAAATTTCTTAAGACGCCGTTCTGAAAATAAAGAAACATTTAGAATATTTCCTTTCATCTTTGAAATTAGGATTTTTTTTTATTGTTTATGAGAAAGTTCCAGTTTAGATACATACAATCACTTTGAACTTAATTTATAGCCAATAACATATTTATTTTGTGAATCAAAATAGTCAACACTTCCAGATATAAATTGTAAAATACACTGCAAAAAAAAACAAACACATACCAGTGACCTATGACCTGGTCTGTCTGAATGCTGTTAGGTCAGGCTAGGTAAGAATGTTTTTTGATAACATTCTTGACCAAGATAGATACAGTTTCTTTTCCTTATCCTATAAATTTAACAACAATATTCAACGAAGAAGGATTTTGATGATACTATTTCATCACTTCTCTCGTAACCTAACTAAGTTTACTTGATGTCTTCTAATAAAAGTGCATTTTTATGTATTTCAGGAATAAAAAAAATGTCTTATAAAACTATAGAAAAACCCCCAAAATCTGTAGTTTGTTTTCTAACTTTTCCATTAAATCCTGTGGTTCTTGTACTACAGGAGCGAGTTTTCCCATGAAACCAAAAATTATTTTGTATAACTCTCTATTCACTCTGCATTGACATTAAAACATGTGTTTTCCAGATTTTAGGCTAAACCTGGAGTAGTAGTTTTGTACACACACTTTAACATTTACTTGAAATATATTAAAACCTCTATAAACTTTGGTAAATCACTTCTTTGTAGTTTTACGTGGCATTTAGACAATAAAATACAAGAGTATCTGACTTTAAAGGTCCAGTATTATTATTGTGTGTTTCTATATATATATATTTAATTTTTTACTAGCTTGGGATCAGTCAGACAAGTTTGTGAAGCTGTATGTCACGCTACCCAATGTTCAAAGCCTTCCTTCTGAGCAAGTTAAAACAAACTTCCTGGAAAAGTAAGTATCAGTTTATTGACTTGTTTAGCTGTTTGAACTTTTGATAAAATGGATTTTGTGTTAAAAGAGAGAGAAATTATAAATCAAACATAAAACATTTGTCAAAGTAATTACTTGTTGAAAACATACCTAGGTTCCCGTGTAAAAACAGATATTTTTAGGATTTCACTAGGAAGAGTGATGAAAGAAGATTTGAATTTCATTCACCTCAAATACTGTCATAAACTGTAGTAATGAAGTTAACAAACAGACTTGGCTTTAGAGCTCAAGTTTCTTTCATGCTCATTTTGTTGCTGTAGCAATAATAAAAAAAACTTGGTATAGTTTGGACATACTGCCGAGAAGCTGTAGAGTAAGAAAAAAAAATCCCTAAGTATCGTAACTAAATGTAAAGACATCATCAAATAGTTATTCGGGCATAATATGCTCTGTCTACAATTGTTACAAAAACAAAATGATGGTAATTGAGTTGTGTATCAAAGATACTATGGTTTTTGCTGTTTGGAAGCTTTTATTTACTTTCAGTAAAGTTGTTTTTATATTCTTAGTGGACTGATATCACAACATAAGTTATTACAATAATATAAAACAAGTGAAAACCTTCGTTCGGGGTAAACAAATTATTTTAAAGTTTTCGGGTTTTGTACTTAAAATTGTAACGCAACAATGAACAACTTAAGGATGCTTTCAAAACTTGTAACTCTTCTACTTTGTATTCCTCGGTTCAATATTTTTATAACTGACATAAATGTAGAAACCATCTCGGTTAGTTACAGGTATAAAGATTACAGTTTTTATCATTCTTAATCAGTTGTTCCCAATCTTATTCATAACCCCATCCTTAGTCTAGAAATACCACCTTTGATGTGACCCAAATTAAAAATATTCTGAGAAGTTTTAGTGATTAATATAATGTTTTATTAAACTTTGCATTAGTGAAACAACACATCGAACTGTGACTTACAGTTTTCATGTTTTAGTAAGATGTGTAAGGACAACTGTGACTTACAGTTTTTATGTTTTAGTAAGATGTGTAAGGAGAACTGTGACTTAGTTTTCATGTTTTAGTAAGATGTTTTATTAAACTTTGCATTAGTGAAACAACACATCGAACTGTGACTTACAGTTTTCATGTTTTAGTAAGATGTGTAAGGACAACTGTGACTTACAGTTTTCATGTTTTAGTAAGATGCGTAAGGAGAAGCGTGACTTACAGTTTTCATGTTTTAGTAAGATGCGTAAGGAGAAGCGTGACTTACAGTTTTCATGTTTTAGTAAGATGTGTAAGGAGAGCTGTGACTTACAGTTTTTATGTTTTAGTAAGATGTGTGTAAGGAGAACTGTGACTTATAGTTTCATGTTTTAGTAAGATGTGTAAGGAGAACTGTGACTTATAGTTTTCATGTTTTAGTAAGATATGTAAGGAGAACTGTGACTTACAGTTTTTATGTTTTAGTGAGTTTAATTTCTTAAAGCATGGTTGTAGACCCACTAGCAATAGTTATGTTTCGATATTTTTCAGTCAAGTACACCTTTTTGTGTTGGGTTGTACTAGTAAAAAAAAATAATCTTAATCTTAGCGGAGGTGTTAAAATGTGATACTTTGTAAAAAAAATTGTGATAATTGTTTTCTTTAAATTTAATGGAAAAAATAAGATATTTTCTAGGGAGCTTGTGACCCCAATTCAAACCCTTCCACGATCTACTTTTTGGGAAACTGTGTCCTCGGTGATATAAAAGTTCAACACTTCAAACTAACGATGGAATCTAGCCAATTTTCAGCACGACAATACATCCTTATGATATTATTGAAATATAATTTGGTGTCAGAACAAATGTATTCCTTCGTTTAGTAACTTAAAAAGAAAATAAAATGTTTACGTACTTGGCAATCAATTTGACCAAGTTGGTCGATCAGGTCCTAACAGTTATTGAAAACAAGTATGGGTTGGAAAACTGTATTTTTACATGTCTAAAGAATGTGTTATCGTTATTAATACTTGTTGTATAATTAGTAATTTCCATGTCTTAAAAATTATCTCATCAACAATATGAAAACCGTATAAATAGATTTCTGCAAAGACTCGGAATTATAAAAATATTCTAAAGTTACTGCTAATATATATTTGACCCTCTTGAAACTTTTACATAATTTTTTGTACGGTTTACATCCATTTCCCATATTAACAGTTTTAATCCTGGGTTTTATAGGTCAGTGGAACTGCAAGTTGTTGGGCTGGAAAATAAAATTCAAGTTTTAACCATAAAGAATTTGACCTACCCTATCAAGCCTCAGGAGAGTTACCACAAAGTAACAAGTCTTTATACTTCCACTACTAATATTGAATATACAATTTAATAAATAATGAATTTTGTTTTCTAACATCGTAAAGTAAAGCTTGCAAGTAATTATGGGTATTAGTTATATATATATATATATATAACATATCCATTGCTGCCAACGAAGTTTGATCAAATACGAGGTGTAACGTAACTGACCCTATCCAGCCAGAGGGGTGTCACTAATATAATCCCCCCTTTTATCAGTGTAATTAACCAAACCTAGGACTTATTAAACAGTATGTAGTTCCAGATTTTTGTATGTTGCGAGAAGATGTTTAAAAAACCAACATTAAAAATACTTCTTGTCAGTTTTAAATGTTCATCTAAACGTTCCATTTAGTTCGTTTCAACTTGATGTTTCCTTTGGCTAACAGCAGTAGTTTATGTTATTTACAAACAAATCTTTTTTTTTTAATTAAACTATATTATTATTATTTTATTTATTTACAAATTGTTGAAAGACTTAGAATTATTATTTACTGATGGGGATAAAATGTATCATGATCTTATTTAATTGTTATTAGATGTCAAAGTAATGGGTGACAAGTATTGAGAAACTAGGCTTCAAAAGCACTGAAAATCAGCTTCATTTATAGCTTTACATTTTAAATTCATGCCTGTTGGGCCACTAGATAGAAAAACCAATTTATAGTTAGTTAAAACACGATAAAGTGTAATGTTTAACGTTCCTTAGTTTTTATGCGAGTTGTGAGGCCACCTACAAAACAGATTAATGGTTTGTAATTGTGATAACCCTGTGTAGATGTTAGGCAATATTTACCATCTTCTAATTCAAATAGTTAAGATATGTTTACTTGCTAAAAAGGGTTTTTAACACGTCTCTCGGGAGCCAAGGGGTGTCTTTACGCTACAATTTGTCGAATGTTAAAAGTAAGTTCAACATAAACTCCCAAAGAGGGTGGTTTTGGACGTATCTTTTCGAGACAAGTTTTCGTTTGTTAATTAATAAATGTTTAAGTGAAATACAGCATCCTCAAGTCTGTACTAGCTAGTACTTAGGTCTACCCGCTGGGAGTAAATTCAGTATATATCAATAAAGCCACATTCTCTGCATCATTAATTAAGCAATTGCCAACCTTTTATGTTTAGCTTTCAATTGAGCTACGAACGATTTCACCTGCGACTCGGTAGAGAAGGTCAAAACTTCATGATAGCCTGCAATAGGATGAGCAGAGAGGAACACTTTTAAAACAGCTACAGGCATAATATTGTACTCGCCTTGCCACACAATATCTACCAAGGTGATTCTAAACGGTTCGTGTCATTTGGTGATTTCCATACTTCTTGTGCTAGGCCTACGATGCACTGACAGATTTCAGTCACCTTACCATTTTAAATCACTTTTTGCAGCCCTAATGCTAACAAAAAGGGTGGGAATTTCCTTCTTTTAAGCCAGTAAAAATGTCCACAAAATTTCAGTTCAAATTAAGAAAAACCAGATTGGGTAGTTGTGTTTTGTTTTTTTTTTAACAAAAATGTTCCCCACTGGCTCGTCAGGGGCCTGTTAAAATTTAATTTGCAGAAGTAAACAGATTTTTTGAAGTCTATGTAATTTTATATTTAACAAGATATCCGTGGAATCCAAAGGTTGCTTTAAATGAATAATTTAATTTCCATTCACCACGTGTTGTTGTTATTATTCACTCTGAAAACAATAAAATTCCAATTAATATAAATAATTTCCTGTACTCGAAGGTTAAGAATGATACAGTGACAGTGTTTTTAAAGAAAGACTCCACCAAACACTGGCCATATGTGACTGAAATTGAAAAGAAAGTTAAGGATTCTAGGTAAGAAGTCTGAGTGATTTATTTTTTTGTTAAATAAGATTATTCAAACAAACTATACGGTTGCATTCAGTGTACTTCCTATTGTCATAAAACTAAGTTAGTAAATGTGAAACTGTTATACAAGTTATTGAGTTTGGATTCTTGTGAATTTCATACAAACTCTAATGGATAGTAACCAATCCAAAAACTCCCTTGACATAAGGTATTAGATACTAAATTTAGAGATGAATAATGCTCTCTCTCTCTGTAGTGGCTTCTTTTAACATGTAAATATATTCAGTAAAGTCATATTTCTTATATTCTATACTTTATACAATACAGTGTTGATTTTTTTAAAAGTCAGACGACAGTACTATTGAATTATAAGTTTGTTTTTGTGTAAAATTATTACCACTTTTTATGATTATTCTCTTTTGTCGCACAATTATATTCATTACAAAACAATAAAAATGTTTCTGTTTTAAGCAGTTCATTGAAATGATCGATGTTCTTTAAACAGTTTGTAGACACATTTAGTGAAAACAGGTAAAAGAATTGACGGCTTTATTGTTTTTATATGCGTATATCAAACTTACTTATACATGTGGTCATTATGAAGGTTGGAATACCAGTTTTTAGGAGGCTATAATAATAATAATAATAACTTAAGACATAAGCTTCTAATGTTGTTATCCTGGGATTCAAACACTTCATATGATCTTTATAAAGAACTCCCAAGTATGATGAAGACACCAGTGATCCAGGTAAGAGTCTGATGAACCTCATGAAGCAGATGTATGATGACGGTGATGATGAAATGAAAAGAACCATTGCTAAAGCTTGGACTGAGGCAAGAGAGAAGCAGTCTGGTGAAATGGACTTGTAAATAACTTCAGATGGCAAGTCATTGTGGGGAAACGGGCCCTTGTGAAAGATAAGTTTACCAGCAGAAAAAAAATAAATTATTACATCTTGTAGACGTGTTAATCTGTGAAGCATACTTGATAATTATCACTAATAAAAATATTTCTTTGTAAAATCAGATGTGATTGTCGTGGTTTGTGTTTATTCTGTAAACCCTACTTGAAAATGTTACAATAAAAGTATATTTTGCTTTATTACAAGATGAAATATATATATGTAGAGACCTATTATTGTGTCCAAAATCCTGTATGTATTCATGGACAGTGTTGATCCTAGAATTTTTCTCAAGTGGGTCAAATCCTCCACTGACTTCCAGAAGGTGGGCCATGCATGTAATGAAGTATACATATATTAACTTCACGAGTCATAGAAGCATAAAATGATCATGTAACTTTTATTTGATCATTTTTCCCGCCATTTTCAATCATCGATATCCCACAAATCCAATCAAGCTAATTACTGTTGAGAATTTTCTGGTTAAGGTCACGATCTATCGTTTATGGAATCATTCGTGAACTAGTCAGTATGCAGTCCAATGATTATTTTGTGCCGGTGGCAATCAAAACAGTGTAAATACACCTCCTAGAAGCCACACTGATGGATTTCTATATAACCAATGATTGCACTGATCATAATATTAAGATTAGTAATATACAAAAACCCACACCGTAGGTTGGAAATTACAGTTCATTGTATTCTGGCCATGGTCAAGAGGCCAAAAACACCTCTAATAACAAGAATACACAATGGTCATAAAGAGTTTTGTGTGTTTTCTCTCCATTACTTATAATTTATTAACGATTGCATTTCTTGAACAATCTTAACATCTGTTATGTTCAGTTCTACAACGAATTATTTATATTTGTCAAACAACTGGCCCACGAGGGATGTGACAAATGTAGTGTGGTAGAAAGGGACTAGATAAAGAATACAGTGTTAAAATATATGTATAGAATAGGCCTAACATAAATACAATTTTTAAAAGAACTTCAGTATAAAATTACCATAACAAATGTTTTATGTTTCAAGTTATTTTACAACTTATTATCTCAATCGTTAGTACAAAGTCTTCTAACTACACGTACTTAACATTACACCACTGTAGTGAACACTCGATAGTACCTGTAGGTTATATGGTTCTTTCAACCGTACATTATTTGAAAACAAGTTGAGTATCAGTAAACTTTAGCGATGTTGGAGAAAGTATAGGATTGTTTAACTTCGAAGATTGATATGTTCACGACACAGGTCTTCAGTCATCCAGAGAACCTCCACCCGAATCACCGTGTTCGTCTTCTTAAAGATACGCAAACCTGCAGAGAGACAACTTTGTACTTTGGGATTTTTAAAGGTGGATTAATGGAGGAATAATTATGTACAGGCTTGAAATTTTCCAATCATTTGATGCCCAAAATACGTCAACTGATACAATTCAGGGTAGTACAAGTATCAAACACTGCCTAAATATAATATCTAGAGTGATAAATGTACTTACCTCTAGTTACTAGTTCCAAAACAAAGCCACTTTCATTATGAGTTTTTTATTATAATGTTTAAATTGTGGAGGAGTGTAATTAGAAATTTAATTGTCATAGCAACTCTATAAATGTCAAGATATATTTCTGGATGTAGTTTACTTAAATAAATCAATTAAAAATCACACACTTAACTCGTGCTAATACAGAGTAATTAACTGGATTAACACATCCAGATTTGGGCTAGTTGCTAGTACCATATCAAGAGATTAATTTCTTTGGATAGGATTTAGAACTGGATTAATCCCATCCTGCCTGAGCTACAATATATTTTTTCTTCGCTATCTTGTGAGATTTTACGAAAGGACTTGTATCGCTAAAGTTTCTCGGAAAGAATTTTTACGAGAAATTATCAAACAAGCAAATACGTAACAATATAATAGCAACTTCTGTTTCATCTATGTATGTTGTTGATTTAAAAAACTTCACAATTTAAGATATGTTGGTCGAAATCTGGCCCTCACAAAACTGATTTAGTTAGGTTGATGTCAATAACACATGAAAGAAAGACCACAACACGTAGTTTTGAGACTAAAAAGAGGAAGATTTCACACAAAATATTCGTTTGACATCAATGTTTTTCCATTTTCTTCAGTTTGTTTGTATTTTTGTTAACAAACATAATAATAAAAAATGTTCATTGTGGTAAACGAAATAATAACTGGATCTAAGTAAGAGTTTTCTTTTAATTCCCGATTTGTAAAAAATCCTTACGTGATATAAAAATGAATATTATTTTCGAAGTCTGTGTAGCTTAATTCTGGAAAATCCGTTTTTAAAACTAAAACAACTTTTATGAAGTTTAACTTCGCAGGCCTGTGTAATTTGTGACACTGTGACATCTTTCATTAAAATTAAACGGTCAACAACTATAAGAATTACAATTAACCGGGGAAGAAAAAAAAAAGGACTGGCTATAGCTTAATAAAATCAAACAAATCTAATTATAATGTTAGACGACTAAGAGGATACCCAGACTTAATAAACCAGCCTCGCATATAGAATAGATATTCTACTTAAGATGTTGAGTGTATCAACAATACAAGTACATTTGACAATTAACCGCTAAGCCTATACATCGATAGATTTGACACAAAAGAATGCACACAAAAAATGAATAACACCAGTTCTGTGTTATTTGTCCATTAAAATTATCATTAATAAATACAACAAAGCGTTACTGGGTAGACCTGATGAATGAATAAGTTCCATGTCTGTGACGGAAACCAAATCGGTTGATCAGACCAAACGCGGTTGACGGTGTTTATATTGAAAAATTGAGTATTGCCATTGAAGGCAAGTAAAAGCGACATCTGACGAGTTCCACAAAGGTGCACAATAAAAGCCCAAATATACTGCTTTTGAGTGAATTGTTTATTTCTATTTTTACAAAAATTACGACGTTTGGCCATCATCACGTAACTGTCTCTATTTTCTGCACAATATTAGACAGATATTAATTCTTGCTGAAAAATTATAAATAAAAGGTAATGTTACTCAGAAATGCTTCAATCACAGACAATCGAAACACGAGACAAAATGAAATTAACTCTAGAAATTTTGTAAACACGGAATCTGTTTTAAGACCGCATTTTTAAAAGGCCGTTGTAAAATGTCAAAATCTCATCGAATTTTCTTTTTACATTACTTGTCTATTACATCCTAACACACGAAAAAAATCACAATTAAAAAGCAAACGATATTTTTATCATTCTCAATGTTCTGCTTGTTAGTTGTCTACACGACTTCTGTACTTAATGATAGATGGCGACACCAGCGTTATGTAGCTTAGATCTTTATTCAATAATTTGATTTGAAAACAATTGTAGAAATTTTATTTCACACTTTTATCAATTTTAATAATTATGTTTTTAAATTGTTACGTTAAAGCGTACACCAAATAAAGTTAATAGACACAGGTTGAGAAAGAAAGGTATTATTCATTTGGGGCATTATGGGACATATTTTGAAATGATCTCTAGCAGTTTTAAGGAAACAGTGTCCCTTAGATAGGTAAACGTAAAGGACTGAAGAATGGAGGTCGTTGAATAAGTTCTTAATTGTTTGAATATTTTAATAAATAACATTCAGTTATAAAATAGAGCGAAGATATATTCACCGTCGACAGAAAGGAAAATGTTGATAATCCCAAGAATGACTTTTTTTTTTGTTCGTTTATCGCTACACAGACGCAAATTGTTCTTAGAACGTTAAAAAAATACATATTGGGGTGTGGGCGGAAAGAATGTGGCTTTATTGAACTTTAATAAGGTCATTAACATGAACAACTATATCTAGTTTCCATATATATTACCTTGTTACTATGTCAATATTATCTACATTCCCAGGGGAAAAGGCTTAGCAGGTACCTCTATATATATAATGTTCAGCTAACACGCACACACACATCCAAATACGTTCTTAAACAGAGAAACCGCGCACGACAGATCACCGAATATGTTCTTATGCGCATTGTTAGAATTAACACACGACACACGTTTCTCGTGACACGCATATACTAATAGAATTGCTTCGTTTACGTAAACTTCGAAAATTAACTACGGACTTACCATAGATTATGATCACGTGCTAATTACGTAAGCAAGTATCGTATCCATTCGAGTTCTAGTGGTCTGAAAGGACAGTTCTGAATGTTCGTAATACAACGACACAAACATTACACCGTATTACAACGACACAAACATTGCACCGTAATACGACGATACAAACATTACACCGCAATACAACGACACAAACATTACACCGTAATACGACGGCACAAACACTGCACCGTAATACAACGACACAAACATTACACCGTAATACAACGACACAAACATTACACCGTAATACAACGACAAAAACATTACACCTCAATACAACGACACAAACATTACACCGTAATACAACGACAAAAACATTACACCGCAATACAACGACACAAACATTACACCACAACTATAAACATGACGTTTTCTTATAACGACACAAACATTACATCACAACTATAAACATGACGTTTTCTTATAACGACACAAACATTACATCACAACTGTAAACATGACGTTTTCTTATAACGACACAAACATTACATCACAACTGTAAACATGACGTTTTCTTATAACGACACAAACATTACATCACAACTGTAAACATGACGTTTTCTTATAACGACACAAACATTGCACCGTAATACGACGACACAAACATTACACCGTAATACG